CACTTAGGTGCAAATCCATGCCACTGACTATAGTAGCTTCAGTATTTCTCTGGAACAGTTCTGGTATTCAAATCACCGTGAAGACTATCACAAAGTCAGGAAGCAAAACACAAGGTCCAACAGGTGATGTCTTTTGCATTTATACAACCCTGTTCACCACACTGCTCAAAGATACCTTCAACGACGTACCTTTAAAGACTTCTAAACTCATTTCCTATCACTGTGGATTCCATTACCTCTTAAGAAGTAAGTACCTACCTTTTAGGAACATCTTCATCTGGTAAAATAAATTGGTATTAGAATTTCAAACACGAAAAAGGGAAGAAAGACAGGAGAGATAAAGTGTGCTAAAGTCTCAGACAGTTGGTGTTGTCCACAGCCCTCCCTTGGTCCTCAGATGCCTTCAGTCATGGCAAACATACTAGGGCTGGCTGTTTTTCTTATGGCAAGCTTGTTTTTTATTCCTTGCAAGAGAATGCTATTTCCGTTGCTGGCTTTGAAACTAGTTTACTATGTTGTGAGCTGCCTATGGAGAGGGCCATGTGGCAGAGAGCTGAGGGCAACCTCCAGCTCACAGCCAGCAAGACACTGAGGACCTCAGTGTAATACCCACAAGGAACTGAATGCTGCCCACAACCACATGAGATTAGAAATGCCATCTTTCCCTAGTCCAGCTCCAGTGAGACCACAATCCCAGCTGACACCTCAACTGCGGCCTTGCGGAAGACTCAGCTAAGTCATGCCCACAGAAACTGTGAGAGTTCTTGGATCCAGAGGAAGGAATGCTTCTATCAGGAGACACAAAAATGATCCCATTTTAACTGGAAGTTAAGGCTGCCACCTGGCCATTTTTGGGCTCCTCACACCACTGAATCAGCAGGCTAAGAAAGGAGTTACTGTGTTGGCTGGAGTGATTGACCCAGACTACCAAGGGGAAGTTGGACTACTACTTCACAATGGAGGTGAGGAAGACTATATCTGGAATACAGGAGATCCCTTAGGATGTCTCTTAGTACTACCATGCCCCGTGATTAAGGTCAATGGAAAATTATAACAATGAAATCCAGGCAAGACTACAAATGCCCCAGACTCTTCAAGGATGAAGGTTTGGGTCATTCCACCAGGTAAAGAACCACAACCCACTGAGGTGCTCGCTGAAGGCAAAGGGAACACAGAATGGGTAGTAGGAGAAGGAAGTTATAAATACCAGCTTCAACCTCGTGACTAGTTACAGACACGAGGACTGTAATTGTCCTCCCTGTTGTGTTAAGAATATGTCTCTGTGTATATATACCGTACACATATTAAGCAGTTATCTTTGTTTTTGTTCCTCTTGTTCTGTATCATGTACCATGAGACTTGCTGACTTTATACCAGCATTTAAATGTTGTTAACCTTACTTCATAGCATTTGCAATTTTAAGTTATGGGATATTGGGAGAAGGGTAAATATATCATTTAAGGACTTTACCTTTTTCTTCTTGGAAAGGGATTAATGCATTTCTGGTTGTACACCGGATAGTGTATCATGCTAGGTGAAACTATTATGTCATTGTACCATTTGAAAATTAAGTGTGATTTAAGGAGATAGTATGGACACCAAGTTGACAAGGGGTGGACTTGTGAAGGTTAATTCTAGATGTCAACTTGGTTAGATGAAGGAATGCTGGGAAACCTGGTAAAGCTATCTTTTCAGGTGTGACCATGAGGGTGTTTCCAGCAGAGATTAGTATGAGAGCCTGAGGGTCCTGGGTGTGAAAGACTCACCCTCAGTGTGGGTGGGAACCATCCAAAGAGAACAAAAGACAGAGGAAAGAGGTGAAGCTCTCTCGATCTGTTGGATCTGGGATACACTCTTCTCTCCTGTCCGTGGACATAGAGCTTGAGACTCTTCAGCTTTTGGGTTCCAGAACTTACACCAAGGACACCATCAGCTTCCCTGGTTTTGAGGCCTTTGGACTTGGACTGAGCCACACTACCAGCACCCAGTTTACAGATGGCCTATCGTGGGACTTTTCTTCATAGCCACGTGAGTTAATTCCCCTAATAAATCCCCGTTATATAATTATAACATATCCTATTGATTCTGTCTCTCTGGAGAACCCTGACTAATACATGTACTGACACCTCCTTGTAAAAAAAAAAAAAAAAAAAAAGAATTTCAAACACGATGCCTTCAGCTTTGGGCATGACAATGATACTAATGGCACTAACATGTAGTAACTTAAAACCTTATTCCATAACCACTTTATCTTTCTCCAGTTCTCAAAGGATTCTAGATTAAAATTGGCACTCTTCTGCTTTTTCCAGTCTCTAAGGCGAACAACATGAAACAATTGTCCTCCAACTAAGTTTAATTTCTCTTTCCCCAGTTTGCCAAAAATGCCACAGGGAAGAAATCAAAACAACCAAGCATTCGCTTGAGCTTTTGCCAAGAAAACTTTCCCCCACTTTGTTGATCACACAAATTTTCTTTTTTTAAAAAAACCCTCTCCCATGTGAAAATAAAAGTGAATAGAACCATATTTTTGCCTTTTCCAAAAGCCTATTTTATATATAGAGAGACTAATTGGTCTGTATATTGCTTCTTTCTGTAACATACAGGAACCTTTACACTGGCTGGAGCAGAGACCTCACAAGAAGATCACTTTTAAAGTAATGTTCGAGCAGCAGTAACATAGGACCCAAAGGGAATGCTGTAAGTTTTTCAACAGATTAAACTATGGAATACATCCAAAGGGAAAAAAACTAAGAGGAAATGAAAATACAATCACAGCTACTGTCAGTGCACCTGTGAAAACCAATACTGCAAGTTTTAGCCAGTAAAACTCGGGTGGTGAATTTTAAATAAGGTTCCTATAATCTAGCAAGTTACTTAACATGTCTCAACCTTCATTTCCTTAACTATTAAACACCTAACACCAGTGGACTGCAGAAGACTATGATGAGTAAACAGCATGTGCCAAATATAAAAAGAAAGCTGTGTGATAGAGAGGAAACAAGAAAGCCTCAAAGGAGTAAGATTTGCAGAAAATTTAATCACAAATTAAAATTCTACCAACTATAGGCCTTTTTCATTTAACATTTTATCACATATAATTCACTCTCTATCAAATATTGTTCGGCCTTCTGGCATTATCTCATAATATTCCTTCTGTTTGTTATTTTCATCTAAATATCTTTCTATGAGAAGCTATCTCCAGCCTACTAACCTCTTCACATCTGCTAATCTCCCCAGTCTTCTGCAAGTTAAATACTTCTGTGTTCCAGGGGCATTTTACTCATGTCATCATTATATATTTTACGACCTAATAAGAGCTGTTTATGCCCAAATACTTGCTACAGAATTGGCTCCGAGGGGCAGAAATCCTGCTGTGGCTCTACATATCCAGTGACTAGCATACAATAGGCAATAATTAATGTTTGTGAATGAATAAGTGTATTGTCCCTTTTTTCCCCACCTTCTAAAAGGGGGGGAGGTTATCTTCTAAAGTGATTTTGATTTTTAACACAGATTGCAATATCATTGAGGTAAACTTTTCATGTGGAAATTTTTAGTTTATACCCTCCGTCAACCACAAAACTGTTTCTGTGCACCTTGAAATGATACTTACTGGCTGGAACAATGAAATCTCCATGTAACTCATAGGTCATGAGAGGCTCCGGAAGACTCCTGTATGAAAAGGACAGCTCAGAATTACCAAATGAATCCAAATGGCTCTAAGTTTATTTTTTATAAAAGAGTGTTAAATACCTTATGGTATGCATTTCTTAGTTAACTCGTAAAACTTCCCTAGGGAATACCTTTACATATCGAAAGATACATAAATCAAATGGATCACTTTATTAATTGCTATTTGCACCAGGCACTACGGATGCTTAAGCAGCCACAAATCCTTACCATATCTATGCATATAGTATTTCAAATCTAATCTTGGAAAGTGCCTTTAATGAATATCTGGTTTTATGTATAAAACTTTCTTCCACATATTAAAGTATTTAAAGTTAAACACTCTATCTAACCAAATGTAAGCATAAAATTTGAAAATTGTCTCTAAGATATTAATTGAAGATTGCCACAAAAAATATGTAGAAAAGATTAAACAAAAAGTCAAATTCTCCTTTTAAATATCTCTATAATAAGAATTTTTCCTCTCTTTGTGCCTATGATATAAGTGACATGAAATAAAATTGATTAGCTTATGCCTTTAAAACAATTTTAAGTTTATACCTATAAAAGATATGAAATAAAATTGATGACAACTTAAAAAATACGTGCATCATTTTAATTTTTGACATAACAAATTACATAAACAGTAGTATATTTTATCCTGTGACCAACAGAATGTTACAGTTCAGTTAACTTTGCTATGTTATCTTAAATTTTAAAAGACAAGATCTCCAAACTTTAGAAACACTTTAAAAACACTTAGACAAGTATCAATCTGTCTAGCCTTTCTGGAGGACAATCTGGCAAGATATTAAAAATTTCTAAAAGGTTAAGCCTTGTAATTCAGAAATTCCTCTTCAAATGTTTTAATGTTGAATATGTGGAGAAGTGTAGGAATGTTAAGATGGAGAGAGACCAGGGAACTTAAGCAGGGCAAAAGCCCTTAGTGTAGACAAGAGATTTGAGGCAGAACAGGGATTGTTCAAAGTGCAAAAGCCCTTAGCATAGCAAAGATCTTCAAGGATGTTCTGCTAGATTAGATAAGAACATTAAGGTCATTTCTTATCCAGGTTTACTCCCCTTCCTTTGTTTCTCAAGATGTTTCCCAGAGAATTCCCCATAGCCAATTTCTTTTCATTCCTTTGATAAATGATTAAGTTGTTTTTTTCTCTTGCATTTCCTTGTCTTTACAATAAAAGCTGAAACAAATACTGACTTGGGGCTGCACCTTGTTTCTCCCTTCTTTAGGGAGTTTTCTCAGTGCAGTCCCTTCAGGCTTCTCGTTGCTCTTAATATTTTGGCTCTGAGTAATCTTTGCATCTTTTCACACAGCGAGAAGTGACAGAATATACTAATTACCCTGATTTGATTATCACATATTGCACACAGGTATTTAGATTCAACACTGTATTCCACAGATATATAGAATCAATTATGTTTCAATTTTAAAAAGAGAATTTTTAAAGTAAAAACAAAAAATGTTTTTAAAAAAATCAAAGATGCACCAAAAACTTTTAAAACATATGCAAAATCGAAGAATACTGCCAGGGATAAAGAAGATCACTTCATATTAATAAAAGGGGGTCAACTCATCAAGAAGACATAACAGTACTAAATGTTAGTGGATCTAATAACAGAGCTTCAAACACATGAAGCAGAAACTGACAGAACTGAAAGGAGAAATAGAAAAATCCATAACTATAATCAGTGATTTAAATACCTCTTTGTCTCAATAACTGGTAGGAAAAGTTGACAGAAAATCAGTTAAGATACAGAAAATTTCAACAAAGCTGTCAACAAACTCAGCTAAGTGGCGCGTCCTTTTTCTAAATGACGGTCCACCCAAAAGCAGCAGAACACACATTCTCAGTGCACACGGAACACTTAATTTCCAAAATAAATCATATTCTTCTGGGCCATGAAACAAATCTCAATAAATTTAAAAGGGTTCAAGTCATGCAGAGTATGTTCTCTGATTATAACAAAAATTGAATTAAAAATCAGTAACAAAGACATCTGGAAAACCTCAAAGAAATCAGAAAGTATTCTGAACTGAATTAAATGAAAACACAACATATCAGAATTTGAGCAATGTTTGTAAAGTAGTACTTATGGAGAAATTTATAGCACTAAACACCTATATTAGAAAAAAATAAAGGTCTTGGGCCGGCCCGGTGGCGCACTGCTACAGTGCACTGCTACAGTGCGCTGCTTGGGAGCGCGACGGTGCTCCCGCCGAGGGTTCGGATCCCACGTACAGACCAGCCGCTCACTGGCTGAGCGAGGTGCAGGCGCGACACCGAGGGTTGCGATCCCGTTGCCGGTCCCGGTCCGGTACGGGCGCGACACTGAGGGTTGCAATCCGTTGCCAGTCACGAAAAAAGACAAAAAGGAAAAAAAAAAAAGAAAAAAAGAAAGGTCTTAAGCCAATGACTTAACTCTTCTACCTTAAAGAGCTAGGAGAAAAAAGAGTAAATTAAACCCAAAGTAAGGGCTGGCCAGTTACCTCAGCTGGTTAGAGCACAGCCTTATAGCAGTCAGTTCCCTGTACTGGCCAGCCATAAAAAAAATAAAAAATAAAATAATAATAAACCCAAAGTAAGCAGAAGAACAGAAACAATAAGAATCAGAGCAGAAATCAACAAAACCGAAAAAATAATAGAGAAAATAAATTAATCCAAAACTGGTTCTTTGAGATAACCAACAAAATTGATAAATCTACCTAGGATGATTAGGAAATAAGAGAGGAAAAAAATGCAAATAACCAATGTCAGCAATGAGAAAGGTGACTGCAGAATCACTGCGTGTACGAAAGATATTAAAAGGAAAATAAGGAAATATTATAAACAATTTTATGCCCATAAATTCAACAATTTAGGTGAAATGAACAAATGTCTTGAAAGACACAAACTAACAAAGCTTCCTCAACAAGAAACAGATAACCTGAGTAGTCCTATATCTATGAAATTGAATTGGTAGTAAAAAAATATATATATATCTTGCCAGAAACAAAACTCTGGGCTTAATGACTTAGTTGGTGAATTCCACCAAATAATTAAGGAAGAAATAATGCCAATTCTGTACAAATTATTTCAGAAAAAAAGAAGAAATACTTTCTAACTCATTCTGTGAGGTAAGCATTACCCTAATACCAAAATTAAAGACATTATAAGAAAACTACAGACCAATATCACTCATTAACAAAGATGCAACTATTCTAAATAAAATCTTAGTAAATTAAATTTAACACGATAAATAAAAGGATAATACATCACAACCAAGTGGGTCTATCACTGAAATGTGATGCTGTCCTAACATTTAAAAAAAAAAAATACAATTCACCATACTAGTAAACTAAAAAGAAAAACTGTATGATCATCTCAATAGACAATCTAGTGGAAAAAAGGTATTCTTTCTCACAAATGGTACCAGAACAACTGGACATACACACACGAGCGAATTTTAATCCGTACCTCATATCTTACACAAAAAATAAAAGAGATCATAGATCCAAGTATAAAACCTAAAACCATAAAATTTCTAGAAGAAAACCTTTGTGACCTTGGATTAGGCAAAGATTTCTTGATAGATCACCAAAAGCACGGTCCATAAAAAGAAAAAATGATAAACTGAAATCCATCAAAATTAAAAAACTTGTCTTTGAAAGACTCTGTTAAGAGAAAAGACAAGCTACAGACTAGAGAAATCATCTGCAAAGCATATATCTGAAAAAGAACTTGTCTCCAAAAATATAAAAAACACTTAAAACACAATAACACTATCTAATTTTTTAAAAAGCAGACAAAAGACAGACACTTCACCCAAGAACATATATAGATGGCAAATAAGCACATGAGAAAATGGTAAACATTATTAGTCATTAGGGAAATGCAAATTAAAAGCACAACAAGATACTACCAAACACCTATTAGAATGGCTAAAATTGAGAGGTTTGACCATATCAAGAGTTAGCAAGGATGTAGAGGAGGTGGGACTCTTGTACACTGTCGGTGGGAATGTAAAGAAGTACATCAACTCTGGAAAAAAGTTTCTCAGTTTCCCAAAAAGTTAAGCATGTATCTATCCCATGATTCATATATTCCACTCCTAGGATTTATTTATCTAAAAGAAATGTAAGCCTATGTCCACTGTAAGATTTGTACACAAAGGTTTTCAGCAGCTTTAAGTGCAATAGCCAAAAGCTACAAACAACCCAAATATCCATCAAGTGAATGAATTAAATTAAAAAATTGTAGTATACCCATACAATGGACCACTAGTTAGCAGTAAGAAAGAATAGACTACTGGTACATGCTACCACGTAGGTGAATCTCATATTAATTATGCTAAGTGAAAGAATCCAGATTTTTTTAAGTACATACTGTATGATTCATTTATATGAAATTATAGGAAATGCAAATTAATGTTCAAGGATGAGGCCTTTAGAAGGGAGGGCTGTGAGGGAGGAATTTCAAAGGTCAGGAGGAAACTTTTGGGGATGACGGACAGGTTCACTATCTTGATTACAGGGATGGTTTCAGAGGTATATACACATATCAAACTTACCAAAATGTACACTATAAAATGTATAGCTTACTGTATGTCAATAACACTGCAATGAAGCTGTTTAAAAAACAAATCAGAATAGACACAAAAGTATATTTACAGGTATGTTCCTTATACACAATTTATGATGGTGCAGTATACATACCCACACACACACACACACAGAAAATGACAACCGCAGACAAACTAAAACTTAAAGCATCAGTGAAGAAAAGCTGCTCTTTTATTTCCTCTCTTCCTCTCCTTCACTCCCATTTTAAGAGGAAAAAAACAAAAATCAATTACACCACAGCCTAAATAAGGAGGGAAAAGAGCCAATGAGAAGTAAACCTTTGGGTTTTTGTATTTCAATGTATGGACAAGCAGGAAGTAACAAAAAAGAAAAATGGTTATTTGGCAGAGAAGGAAAGTTAGAGAGTGCTGAAAAGGGGGAAAATGAGAACACTTAGAAAAACCACAGAGAGCATTTCCTTTCTCATAAAAATGAATCTGTATCTAAATATCTTCTCCAAGCTACTTATATCATTGCCATATGTCTACCTAGGCAATGCAACATAAAAAATAAATATTGTTAATGTTAGGGAAGCAATAATAAAAATGACAAGTTCCTCATACAAAATTTATTATACTGAGTCACCACACCTCGCAGCCTCCCACCCGACATGTTTTTAAGCAACCTCTCTTCCCCGCCCATTGGGATCTGTTGGGGGATATAAATCATAATATTTACCTAAGCTGGCATTTCCTTCCCAAAAAGTCTCATTCCAATTTCCAAGCTTAAAAGAAGTTTCCTCCAGGTGAAGTCATTTTACTGGAAACATCACAAAATAGCTCATTTGTTTCCTCACAATGGGCAACTGTTGTAATGAACACATTGCTGGAAATCAAAATTATGGTCTGCATAGATAAGAAATCATTCAGAGGTCTAGTATTCAGCCCTCTAAAACACTAGAAGTAAAAAAATTTACCTCAAGTCAGTAGAAGAAAAGGAAAGATGCCATACATAGGTCCACGACACATCTCTTTCCTTCTACAGGACTCTTGAGGTTTTGCTTCCTATTTTAGTTTGGTGCTTTGGGGGTTTGGCTGTTTCCCTCCTTCTGCCTCCATCCTTCCATCCAATAAGACGGCTGGGTTATTTGCAGTGGGAAGAATACAAGGACAAGAGCTTTTCTTGGTGGGAAAAGCTATGTCCAGCTTCAAACCATGGTTGCATGGGTGACAGAGCTGGGGTTCCAGCCCTGCCAGGATTTTGTGCTCCTGACCATCACACCACACTATCTTACCACTAATGCCAAAAGAAATATGTTTGATTGGGCCATAACCAGGCAGTCAAACAGAGGTAGATAAAAACTGTTTTCTCCCATTTGGTGCATCACCAGAAAAAGCGTCAATTGAATCCTAATTACTGTGTTTCAGTTGCTAAAAATAACAGGGAAAAAGAACAGCAACCTAACTTTCAAATCTCCCAAGGCATCTGCCATCTTATGATAATCACATTATCACATTCGGGCAGAATGTGTATATCGTCAGAAGTGAAGTTATATAATAATAGTGTCTCATACTGTTGGTCTGTAGGCAGTGTTTGCTCAAAAGTGGAATTCAACAGGATGAAGCAACACAATTAGAGAAATAAGGTGGAAAAGGCAACACAAGACCAGGGGCAATGAGGAACTAGCTTCAGAGAGCCTCAAGATTGAAAAAGAAATCATATACACTGAATAAAAAGATCCTCTAGTATATTAATTTTTCCCACAAGGAAAAAGAAAAAAACCACGCGGAGCAGGGGAAAAAAGCACACAATGTAATACCAAAGAAGTGGATTTTTACCCTTAGTTTCCCACCAATAACTGAGTCATCTTGGTCAATACCTTTACCTGTACTAGGTATGAGTTTACTGAACAGTAACATGGATTTAAAGGTATGTTCTAGAGTGGCAGGATCCTCTGCTGGTCAGGTTAACATATGCAATTCATTATATTTTTATATCTCTCACCTATTCTTTCCGTCATCCATCTAATACAGGCTTTCTCAACCTCAGCACTATTGACATTTTGGACCAAATAATTCTTTGGGGGAAGTGTGGACTATTCTACAGGATGCTTAGCAGCCCATCCCGGCCTCTACCCATCAGATGGCCAGGAGCACCCCCTTCAGCAATCGCGAATCGTGACGACCAAAAATGTCTCCAGACACTGCTGAATGTCCCCTAGGGGAGGGAGCAAAATCACCCCCAGTTAAGAAATCACTGCTCTAATATTTTAGTAACAGGCACAGCTCTGGTTGCTGGAAATACTGCAATGAACAAGACATGTGAGATGCCTATCATAGGGGAGCTTCCATTGTGATCCTACAGTGGGGACTAGAGAGATTCATTTTTACCATAATCCTTTATCTAAACCACAGTTAGTCACTATCAGTGGCAACTGTGATATAAGTACATAGATTTGGCCTGAATTTTACCCCTTTTATCAACTAGGGGTAACAATAACATACCTAACAGTTGAAGAAAAAAATTTAAAACAGTGGCTAAAAACATCTTTAAATAAAGTACTCAAAAATAGGTAAGCATATCTGATAAATTTTAATACCATTAAAAAGTGAGACAACCAAAAAAAAAGGAGGGGGGGGGCCGGCCCGGTGGCGCACTGCTACAGTGCGCCGCTTGGGAGCGCGGCGACGCTCCCGCCGAGGGTTCGGATCCCACATACAGACTGGTTCCCGCTCACTGGCTGAGCGAGGTGCGGGTGCAACACCAAGGGTTGCGATCCCGTTGCCGGTCCCGGTCCGGTACGGGCACGACACGGAGGGTTGTGATCTGTTGCCGGACACGAAAAAAGACAAAAAGGAAAAAAAATAAATAAATAAAAATAAATAAATAAAATAAAAAGTGAGACAACCAGACAACACAGGCCTGATGCAATGCAATAGGAAGAATATAGCACCACCATGATGTATTCTTGAAATAAATAAAATAAAACCTAACCTGAATCTAACAAAACCTATAGATCTGTTAGTTCACAGGAAATATGATGGCCGGAGAAATATGCTAAATGACATCCTCAGGATATAATCATCCATATCTAAAACATAGAAAATCCTATTTTAAGAAATGACCCAGCTTCATCAGTAAATAAATGCCAGCGGTGGGGGAGGGGAGGGACTGTACAGATTAAAAAAGACTTAAAACCTATCAACCAAATGAAATGTTGACATTGTTTAAATCCTGCAGCATTTAAACCAAATATAAAAAGACCTTTTTGAAACAAAGTAGTGAAAATGAAATGTGAGCTGAGTACTGGATGATATTAATTTTGTTGGGTAAAATACATTCTGGTGGTCTTTTTTTTAAAAAAGAACTTATCTTTTCTGAGATACAAGTTCAAGTACTTATGAATGCAGTAATCTAATGTTTTGGAAAATCTTTAAAGTAATTACCCCCCCCCCAAAAAAAAACATAGCAGATAGGGAGACCGATGAATCAAGAAGCATGGAATGTTGATCACAGGAAGCAGGATGATGCGGCATAAGGATTCGTAATCTCTCTGGTCTTATATATTTGAAATTTTTCATAATGTTTTAAAATATAAAATATGTAGTATGAGTTGATTCTAACGTGCTCGCTGGAAGCCAAATAATGTTTGCCTGAAAAACAACCCTATGCATGGTTTACGAGAAGTGATCCTAGGGAAACCTTGTCATTTGTTTGCCATACAAAAATCCAAGCCCCCAGCAGAACCACAGCAAGGGAATTACAGGGGTGATGTTTTTTTCCATTCTTTTATTCACTTTTTTTTTTTTTTGACTCATCTAACTCCAGCTTCTTATCATTCAATTCCTTTTTAAAGAAGGGGTCATGACTCATGAAAATGCAAAACCATTTTCTAACTCTAATCCTAAGTATTTTCTATAATAAATTAAAAACTTTTTTATTTTAAAACTTCATCAAGTACATTTCTTTCCAAATAACTTTGTATTTATGTGTTATTATAAGCCTTTACTTTCAGATGGTTTAAACTAAAAAAAAAAAAATCTCCTTTTCAATGTGGTTTATCAATATTTACGTACAGAGTCAGCACCTGTTTTATGCCACATTTCCAAATAGTCACTGAGAGGAGCTTACCTCAAATACTGTTTCAGGGCACTGGTTATTGTCTTCACTTCCCAATCTACAGAATTCTCCAGGTCCACCTCATTACATGTATTTACATCTAGTGAGTAAGCAAGCAAGAAAAAAAAACAATTAAGACTTTGAACATTCAAAGACCCTCTCGACTAGCTCACAAAGCTCCTATTTTTAAACAGCCAAACCACAAATAATTAATCCTGTGGTTTTCTACAAAAATGTTATACATACAATTTCTTTATTATACTGTAAGCCATGTTATACTACTAGAGATTTCCAGGACTACAGAAAATCTGTAATAGAGGTCAAAGGACCAGGGTTGGACCAGGAGTAAGGAAGAACAGGTCACAGGGTACAGCACTATAACCTCTACAACTGCAGTTCATGTACACCTGTTCCCGTCATCATAATCATTAAAGGTATTAGTAGCCATGGTTTAGAGCATGCGGCATTTTCAGTTGTATGTGTATAGTTTAACTTGTTTCAGGTGGCATTATTGCTATCACACTGTGTTATGAATGGGGAAACAAAGGGGCACCATTAATGGCAAAATGATATCAGAATGGCAAGTCAGTGGCAGAAAGGATAATAAGCTTAGTTCCGCGCATCCAAGATTGTATTCACTGTATTAATTTTCTGAAGATTAATACATATGTGATCAACCAAAACAGAGATATGATTACAAATAAACTTAAAAAGTCACTTATGGGTAATCTTTCACATTATCACCGTAATATATACACTCATCTGGGAAATATTTATTGGAGGCCTCTATATGACACTTTGGACATTCATTCTAATTAAGCTAGTTTTCTTTGTCCTAAAAGTGTGTTACCGATGTGTTTCTTCCATATGTCCTTTCAAATAGCTATTAAGTTCTAAACAAAATGCATGTGGTGCAGAAAAAAAGGGTGGGGGTGGTTAGCAAATTACGGAGAGGAAAAAGTGAATCCTGGTTGAAATAAAATGAGAGGATGGTGAGAAAGGCAAACCCTCTGAGTATGGTGGCATCTTTAACCCTTGTGACTCTGGGCTAGTTCACTCAGCCACAGACAGCAGCAGGCAGGAGTGCAGTGCTGGCCTCACACATTTGGGCTTAAATGCCGGCACCAATCCAGACCAGCCATACCACCCAAGCAAGTGAGTTCTGAACCTAACTGTACTCCAGGTCTTCATCTGCACAATGGAGATAATATAAATGCTCTCACAGAACTGCCAAGAGGATCAAAGTGAATCAAGAACGTACGCAGATTTTTATAAATTATTAAATGAAGGTTATTACCACAGCTGAGCCACTAAAAATTATAAGCATTCAGTGATGGTTACCCACCCAAAAGGAGGGGCAGTAAATGAGTTCTGATGAACAGTATCAAGGCACCAATATAAACCTGCCTGGTTTTCTACACTCCTATCATGAAAAGGAGAAAACAAGAGATTCATGGAAGAAACTATTTCTCCCTCACTCTAGAATGATGTCACAACAAAGACCCAAAAAAACTAATTGTTTGCGGGGTAAGGGAGTTATTTGCCTACATAGAGAAGAGAACATCTTGTTAGTATTTCCTTTTTTAAATACACTAAACAAAAAAACCTGGTCAAAATGGGACCAGCACATTAAGTCATGCATGCCGCTTAAAAAGTTCTAGGCTGGGGCACAAAGAAGGATGGATGACAACTCAATGTTGGTCTCAAACTTTTTGAAAATAAAATAAAACAGGAAGTGATGGTTATTTCACAGCCATAACATCATACACATGAAGTCAATTACTCAAAGTTCTGGAGACTTTTTAAAGCACTTCAGCATTTCTTGATTACAGCAACTGACAGCAATATGCAATAAACTACAACAATGGCAATTGACACTGATTACATTTTGATCAGTTCTACAATTCAGAACTCATTTGTTATTGAGCTTGTCAGACAAGCCACAGATACATTCAAGAAATCAAGTTAAGCACCCTGATTAAAGGTGCAATCCTTTATAACTAGGACTAAATAATTCTGTTCTAAAGGCTCTGCCAACCAATTACTTCTGTAACTGAATATTCTCTCATTAAATCAATTATTTAAATTTCATTTTAACATACAAGTCAGATAACATTTTCAATCAACTTGCTACCAGCAAATCACCATTTTAAAATCCAAGAGGCTTTTTAAAAACTTTTATTTCCACCGTTCTACCAAATTATCATTCTATATTTTGAGAATCATTATTTTTTCTATGGAAAAATAAGCCATCCTTCCAAATTCATAGAATAAAAAACAGCTCTCACATCAGAAGCTAAAGACTACATAGCGCCTATGTTACTAGTCTTCTAGTAAGTTTTCATATAACTCAATCATACCTAGCAGTCCTTTACAATCAGTAGGTGCACTGAGACTAGGCAGAATTTGTTAATTACTTATTTGGGATTCAAATATAAAAATACTTTTGGGGTATTTGTTCAGAATATATGTTCTACCATAAATAAGGTAAAAATGTTGCTCCTTTCTGACCAAGAAACAATACCTCATGGATTAGTTAAAAATCTAAACTATCAAGCACAGATACAAAGAGCTGACTTTTTATTTGGGGGAATGTTTCATACTTATGTAACCACTGATCATTTTTTTGAAACTGGAAATATGCAGCCCAACCTAAATGCAAAGTGCCACTTTATGCAGCTGCTAGCACCCTACTCAACACTGACTTAGGTCCAATTTTAAAGTACTTGAAGAAGCACAGTGGATGAATTTTGAAAATGTGCTTTATAATCAAAAATCTGAAATTTTTCCAGCTACCTTGGTTCACTTTTTTCCCCTATGTGAAAAAGCTATCCTATAAAGTAAACAAGGTAATTTCTTAAGGTAATACTCTCCTAACTTATTATTTCTTGTTTTCTATGGTTCTATGCCTAAAAATACATAAAATCATCCAGCTTTTTTTTGCAAATTAGTTTTAGAAGTAATCCACCATACCACACACTACCACCACATTTTCTCACAATTTCCCTTTCCTCTGCTCTGATGTTTTCATTCTAAAGTGGGGAAGAAGGAAAAACACATGACAATTCTAACTCATATCAGTTCTAATCTACCATTAACTGCTGTAATTAATTTTTTACATTCTCACCCCATTAGCAAAAAAACCATGATTCAGTGAAAGACACCTCATTTGATATTTTCACTTTCCCAAACTGCTCCAAGTTTCTATTAAGAGGTAAAAAAAAAACTTCGCCAGACAGTGAGTGCCCTATCTTAGAGACAGCAAAGGGCAAGGAATGGAAAATGGCCTGTAAATGAAAGGAAGGCACTTGCTCACATGGTCCAGCTTGGTCCAGTGAAAGGCTCGGGGGCTGCTAGAAACCCAGCAGACCACTGCCTTCTGCTCCCAGGGAGGAAGACAACTAAAAAGGCTAACAACTCTCATCACCAGGGGGAGGGAGGCAGCTGCCCTCTCCTTTACCTGGCCTATAGGAGTACAGATGACTTCTCTATTTTTCTATGGTTAACTGCCATGACTATACCATGTTGGCAAGAGTCGGGGAAAAGTGAGGCGAAGGAGGAGGAGGTGGGGAGGGAGGAGGTGGGGAGGAAGGGAGATTTAATGTTAAATGTTAAGGGGAAAAATACATCCAAAAAAAGGAGGCAAGTGAAGAAAACATTCAAAAGATTAGGCATACACCCTTTCTTTAGAAATCATCACGAACTTTTAATTAATCAATATTTAAAGAACACAAAATATTTTAAACAAATATAAAATATTTTATGTAAAAATGTCAATAATGAAAAAATAGTTCTACAGTAAATAATTAACTCTCAAGAACTAAAGAGAATCAAGCGAACTTTTAATTAATCAATATTTAAAGAACACAAAATATTTTAAACAAATATAAAATATTTTATGTAAAAATGGCAATAATGAAAAAATAGTTCTACAGTAAATAATTAACTCTCAAGAACTAAAGAGAATCAAGCAAACAGCAGCTCTCCTTCAAAAATAACACATGGGGCCGAGCCCGTGGCGCACTCGGGAGAGTGCAGCACTGGGAGCGCAGCAGCGCTCTTGACGCGGGTTCAGATCCTATATAGGGATGACCGGTGCGCCACAGAGCTCACTGGCTGAGCACGGTGCGGCCGGTCTCAAAACAGGACAAAAAAAAAAAATTAACACATGACTTCAGACTTTTTCTCAGGTCAGTACGAATTAGACTATTTTTCATTTCTATGTAGAAAAATGAATTATGAACAAAATGTGGTTTGAAAAAAATTCAAATCTGAAATAAACATTACCTTCAAGAATAATAATAATAGACACTGAATGGTTTTAAAAAGCAAAGTTAAAAATTTGGCAGACCCACCAAATTTTTTTTCTCTTTAGGAAGTATAACCTTAAAACAATGCAGAGTTGGGAAAAGTTAGAGAGAAAGCTATGGGACTGTGTGTCTACTGAGTATTCAAAACTCTAGGGCCGGCCCGGTGGCGCACAAATCTTTTTTTCCCAAGAAGTATTAAATTATTTCTATTTGAACACTTAATCAGAATGAAAGGGAAAAAATCGTAGGAAATCTTAAATTGATTAGGAAATAATGAATAAATGTATTTTGTCAAGAGCTAAGGTTCGTGTTAGTATAAAGTAACAAAGAAAATGGTATTAAGGCTAATGAAAATCCAATATTTTTGATTAACAATTTATCAATTAATAAAAACAAATTTATATTGTGTAGCCCTCTTAAATGAATTACTTAATAAAAAAATCCTTCTTCACATCAATTCTCTAACTTCCTCTGTACACAGAATATTACTAAAAGCATAGCATTTCCCTTGCCAGCAGCTTGAATGATGTTGTGTCATACTTGTGTCCTGGACTTCTCTACTCTGAGGCTCAAGGAAAGTAAAAACTGTTTTCCAGACCATGAATTTTTGTGGGTTTAGATATTTTAAGATACCTTGTAAGTTAAGGACTGTCTTGGGACATTTCCCACGAATAGAGGTAACTACCACCTGAGTTCAGCGATGCTGTGCATCCAGGACTTTGAGATTAAGACCCAATTTTGAGATAGCTTAACACTTTACAGTGACCACAGAAATACCCCTGTTCAGACTTTCCTTGAACATGAACAATAAAATAACAAAAATAATGCCAGGATCCCTTTGACCGATTTACCACCAAAATGTGCCTTTTAGCCTAAATCTCCCATTCTGATACCAACAAAGCCTTCCAGTTTTAATCATTATAGCACCATGTTGGAAATGAGCGAAGTGTTTCTAATTTTAAAATTAAGTAAAAGCAGATGCTGTAGTCCCATTAAACTCTTCCAGCTGCTACTGAACCACTGGCAACCTAAGTCTATTTAATTTGGAGACCACTAATAGTAAAAAGGAAAATCTGACTGCCAAGACTGCACACCCAAGTTAAACCAGAGAGGCAAAAAATAAAAACAGCTCATGAAAGCAAATGCATTCTAATAAGGCTCTCCAACTGATGACAGGCAATTTTTCCTGTGGTTAATAGCTAAAAAAAGGTTGTTGCTTATTAAATCCTTAATTCAAATACAGCCAACAAGCAATCCTATCCGTAACGTGTCAGTTGATTTTATTCATCTTGGTTTATGTCTCCTACAAATGAGTCTTTGCTACAATGCTTTAAGATGTAGATATTTAAATGCATTCATATCATACCTGAGGGCATTCTTAATACTGATTAATTAAAGTGAGATATCAAGTGAATTAATATGTAGCATGGTCACAATGACAGACTGGTTTGATATACAGGCCCTCAAACCTGATGAGTTATCATTACTCCTCAAGAGGCTGCCTGCTTTGGGGTGGGGGAGAAATGAAGTGTCTTACAGGTGGCACTGAACTGACAGTACTATGTAATGGAAAAGTGCTTTGTCATTCACATAATGTCTGGGGTAATAAAATGAATTCACTTTCTGGCTTCCTCTAGTCTGAGATGCCAAAGAACACTGTGTTATCAGCACAGATGGAGCATGCATGGTTTGGAGAAGAGCCTGGTGTGAACTGCAAACAAGGCTCTGTGAATACCAATGAATCCCTGAGAATCAGACCCTCACTGTCGAATGACAGTTTTGAGTGAGTCCCAGCGGTCTTGTCCAACCAAATGTACTGTCAAGATTCTGGACAGGCAATTTGGAAGCCATGCAACTCATGGAGGCCTGGCTACTACTCTCCTGTGAGAAGCAAGCACAGGAAGACATTCACCCATGAGCGCATTCTTTTTTCCTTTCATCCTTAATAAGTAAAGAGGTGGTAGGTAATCTATGCTGATGAAAATACTCATCTACCTCTGAGTCAACTGTCTCTGCTCAGGAGAAAACTCATCCAGGCGGGAGAAGAAAAGAATGGATTCACAAGTATGTTATATGTTACTATGAAATATTAAGTTGTGATATCAATGAACATAAACAAATAATGCATGGAAAAATGATTAGAAAAGAGGCATACCCATCAACATACTCAGAAGTCTCTGGACCTTTGAACTCACCCCCACAACTCTGTACAATCCTTGGTCATTTATACCTATTGGAAGAGACAAAATGTTAGCAAAATACCAGAGTATCATATTTTAAAAGCTGTCATCAAATAGTTGCATTCAGAATCTTTGCTAATCCACATCAGCAGCATTCCAGTTGACTCTAAAAATGATGTTTGACAAAAGCAAGTGTTTACCAACTTGTCTTACCAGCTTTGTAGCTGTGGTTGGAAAATAACTGCATAAAATAACGTTCCATGTGGACAAAAATGTAATGAGTCCATGCTAATGAAGTCAGTTAAATGTCTTGGCTATACTGAAATGTATACAAAAAAGATCTGTAAAGATGCATTAAAACTTTTATGCTTATTAGTTTACTTATTGTTTACATTTTTCTTAAAACATTTTAGCCTTTTAAAAATAATATGGTAACGATTACTATACAGAAAGAAATCGTTGTTTGGATGATTCTCAAAGACCATGGAAATCCACTCAGTTGTTTTTAAAGAGTTGTTATAAGCCCTGTCCAGTGAGGAGCTCTGAAACTTCAAATGAGTATCACCACAAACTATTCAGCAAACGAACCAAATTAATGCATCCTCTCTCCAGAGGCCTGAAAACGAAATGTCCCCCAGCACAACAGACAAACAAAGGTAAGAAAATTTATTGTCAAACATAACTTAGTATGCTGAATAAATGTCTTTATTTCGATTCTGATCTAAACAAACCAATTGTAAAAGGACATTCTTGAAGCTATCAGGAAACTTTGAGTGGCATTAAGGTTATATAAGAAAACGTACACTTTTTAAAGTTGCATACAGGGAGGGGTGAAAGTAACCTTAGGTTTGCTTTAAGAGGGAGAAAGGAAGAGATGAACCAACTGTGGCAAAATCTTGGTGATAAAAGCCTGAGTGATAAAAACACGGGGTTCATTGTACCAATCTCTGCTTTTTTGTGCTTGAAAATGTTCTTAATAAAATAATGACTTCCAAAGAAATGTGACTTCTCCTCTTTACTTCTCAGAAGAGTTGCCGCTTTCTGGCTGTGCATTTATTTTCTGCACTAGAAATGTTAAAGCTAACAAGAACACAACTGGCTGACAAGGAGATGATGCCTCTAATCCTCAAAGTTTCCAAAACAAAATAACACAACAACACAAACAGAGGCCATGGAATTTGCCCAAAGGGGTTTACTTTCTTTTCACCTCCCTGCTTGGAGTGATAGAAAGAATACTAGACAGAGTCTAAAGAACTGTGTCAAAGTCACAGCTCAGTCACTCACGGGCAAAACAGGAAACTTCTCTGGGTCTTAATACTGCATCCGAGATCAAGGACAGTGTCCTACGTCATGTGGGGAGGGAAATGATGACACCAGCACGTGTTCTGTAGATTGTAACTCGCTACACACACGAAACTCATTATTCCTTGCCAAAATCAGTGTCTCTTTTCTTTCTTTTTCTCCTTACTCATTTTTGTAAGCTTTTCAAATGTTCTTTTTTTCCTTCTGTTATGGGCTGACTCGTGTCCCCCAAAAATTCATATGTTGAAGCCCTAACCTCCATCATCTCAGAATGTGACAGTATTTATAGATAAGGTCTTTAAAAGAGGTGATTAACACAGTTTTTACTCTTTCAATGAAATTTAAATAAACCTTTGAAAAAGCATGCAAAATACATACACTCAAGTCTTACAGGATTTTCTGTTTCTTGTTTACATAGTTCTTAAAGGCTCTGACTAACAAAATGAGAATTGGGACATACTTTATGTCTATGAACACATACATGTTCATACAAAAGATACCAAATATGCTGAAAGAATATAGACCAACCAATATGCAAGCCATATTAGTAGGTTTATCATACCCTTTCCAGCTTCTCTTTATCAGGGTGGGCCCTGATCCAATATGACTAGTGTCCTTACAAGGAGAGAACATTTGGACACAGACAGAAACAGAAGGAAGATCATGTGAGCATACAGGAAGAAGACGGCCATCAACAAACCAAGGAGAGAGACCTCAGAAGAAACCAACGCTCTTAACAGCTTAATCACCTAGTCTGTGATACTTTGTTATGGAATACACCTTCTCTCTCAGTAATCTCCTTAGAGCTCAAAAAACCAGAAAAGCAAAGGCTAGCCCTTCAATCTATACGAGTTTATTCAAAATACTAAAAAGTCACAGGAGCAGAGATGTACCCTCCTGAAGGGGAATGCTCACTGACTACAAGAGGAGAAAAAGGCAGTACAGCCCTGCCAGGAGTTGGAAAAAAGAAAAGGAAATTGCCAAGAAACACAAAAAGAAGGTTTTTGAGCCTGTAAAAGAGAGAAGACTGAGTCTCATTCCTTCCTTCTAGAACCCAGAAGGGTATGTCCAGATAGTTTAAAATACCAAAGGATTTTTTCAATACTACTCTATTTAGGAAACTTAAAATAGTTTAACCTCAGTGCCAGAAGCCAAAAGAGCAAGTTATATTCTGCAGTCAAACAAACGTGCCTCCATGAAAAGTGTCTGAAATATACAGAGATGAGAAGAATGTTATTTCAGCAATAATAATCACTCCGTGGTGGTAATTAGTATCAGATAATTGATCAAGTCCAAATTCATCAACCTGAGAGAAGCAGAATTAATTGCTAATGCATAATGGAAGGTGCAAGGGGAAATTAAAGCTACTCAACACAGTTTTTACCTTTTTAAGTAAAATTGAAAGAAACCTCATATAAAAGTAGCTTGGAAACAGCATGTAAAATACATACACTGAAGTCTTGTACGACTTTGTCTTGTTACACTGTTGTTAACACTGTTCTTAAAAGCTGTGGACTGACAAAATGAGAATTGGAACATACTTTATACCTATGAACACGTACATGTTCATATAGCACATATTAAATACATTTTTAAAATATAGATTAACCAATACGCCAGTCATATTGGTGGGTTTATCATATCTTTTCCAGTTTCTCTCCCATATTTTTCTCTTTCAGCCAAAGAAATCACTATTCCTAATCACCAAGCACTAGAATTTTGGAATTATCTTTGACTTCTTCCCTGTCACTTTCCAAATTCAACAGGTCAATGTCCATTCTTTCTTCAAACTTCACACTATTCTCTGCCTCTTCAACGTAATTGAAAATTCATTCAAAATTCTCTTGAATTTTATGCACACACATTTATTAAAGAATCCCTGCAAAGAAACACACACAACTCTAATCTATTTTAAACACCATCTTTTTTCCATCTGTTCTTCAAACCACTTTTATTATCTAAGGTCCTCCTAACTCCATTTAAGAGTAAGCCATCAGATCAAACCCACATTCCCCAGTCGTAACAAGTATGTAAGGCATAAACACACAAACATCCATAATGGGTCCCACCTCATCTATCTACGTTTATTGCAGAGTACTGGCCTTAACCGGAGCAGACTGACGACTATCACCCACAAATAACCAAGTTTGTTCCATCCTCCATGACTGTGTTCAGGCTGAAGTCTTGCCTGACAGGAATGCTCTTCCCCTTCTCCTCACAAATTTACTCGTCTGTCATATATGCATGCATCAAATATGTGCCAGGTGCTACTCCAGCTGCCCAAGACTCAACACTGAGTAAAACAAAGTCCCATCCAAACAAAGTCCCAGCCGAACCTTCAAAACCAGACAAAATCCCACCTTTTCTGACACCAGCCCATGCTCTTCCCCTTCTCCTCACAAATTTACTCGTCTGTCATATATTCATGCATCAAATATGTGCCAGGTGCTACTCCAGCTGCCCAAGACTCAACACTGAGTAAAACAAAGTCCCATCCAAACAACAAAGTCCCAGCCGAACCTTCAAAACCAGACAAAATCCCACCTTTTCTGACACCAGCCCACAGTGATATTCTTTTTCTAGACATAATTCATAATTGATTCCTTTTAACGCTTTACATTTTAAAACAAGTCCATAAATCCTTTAGTCACAATTCCCAAAATCAAAAGTCTGAATGCTTGACCTAACATCAGGTATTTAAGTCTTTATTTCCCCCACTCACTCTGAATGTTTATATTTCAACATGTTAAAAGTAATTTCCACACCAAATCTATCTGGAGATGTTATATACTATACAGTATATACCCCATATTACCTTTATAAATTTTTTTTTAAATCTTAATTCCAAAACACATCCAGCCTTAAAATTTGCAGATAAAGAATTATGGGCCTCAGGCCTGGCCAGTTAGCTCAGCTGGTTAGAGACTTATAACACTGAGGTCATGGGTTTGGATCCCTGGACTGGCCAGCTGCCCCCCCCCCAAAAAAAATAATAGTAATTGTGGACCTATATTCCACCTTCTCTCCCCAAATACTTAGAGATACTACCTCAAAAATTACTAGGACAATCTTGGTTTTTGTTTTTTGATTTTAATAGCTTTTATGGTACCTTGCATGGAATAGTTTGGCACAGAATTGGTACAACTAGGTTGACTTGACCTTAAACTAATTTAGAACTGTAGATACAGACTTGGGCCAAAATGGACATCACAATTCAGAACTGAAAAATTAAAGTTAAAATATCCCAATAATTCTAACTTTTTTCAGGACACAAATGTTCACTGATAGAGAATATTAATACTTTAGAAAACAAAAATTTGTAATCTGGTCAAAGATTTTTTTTTTCTTTTATGGATGCAACTGGTTCTGATCAGCAGTATAGAAAAGGTACATTGCTGTCCATTACAGTGAGGAGCAGCTTATGACAGCTGTCCCTGGGTAAAGTAGATAAGGGTAAATCAAATGTGTCTTACTTCCTATCACCTGTCTCCTCCGATCTCCCACAATGCTATCCCAGGGCACTACACACATCTTCCTTGGGGAGAAGGTCAAAAAGTGGGAATGAGTCAAGACTCACCATCATCTCTACCCAGAGCCAGAATCCATTCAGCTCCAGGATACACCTGCATAAAACTACTGAATGCCAGTGGGCACCCACATACCCTTGCAGGTGGGCTAGAGAAGCAAGAGAGAAAATAAGAGGCTTAGAGACAATCAAGGAGTTAGAGTCAGGAGGAAAAGAAAACTT